TTAGTTTCTGTAAATTCGGATAATACAATTAGATTCTGTAAATTTGGATTATACAATTAGATTCTGTAAATTCGGATAATACACTTAGTTTCTGTAAATTCGGATAATACAATTAGATTCTGTAAATTTTGTTTGAAGGCTCATCCTTTTTGAATTTACTGTAACCTTCTTTCTGCATTATTATTAAAAATTTACCAAAAATGTGATTCTAAATATATGTCTACCCCACCTATGCAACTATCTATCTATCTTGTATCTATCTATCCATTTTCTTGAGATTTGTTCAGTCGGCTTTCGCCCATTCAGGCAGTTAGAGAGAGTGGCCTGTGTAATGTCAGACTATGCCTGAATTATAGTGCAAGTTGAACTAGGCCCTGCAAATATTTAAATCTACAAGTTTTAATCTGAAAAATCTACAAACTTTGATCTAAAAAAACCTGGAAAATTTTTTGATGATCCAGTTTTAGAACCAGGTATATAAAATTTTAGGTGTGTTTTTGCCCTGTTATTTATGTCACCCTGTATTAGGGTTGGCTATATATAGACATAACGTGTCAGGTGTATAGACAAGCCTAAATATTGCCTTTTAACAATGTCGACAAGAAATTTGAAGAAAATTCTCAATAAACGATAACAATGTTTTAAAGTGAAATTTTCCATTTTCTTGGTGAATTTCTATAAAACTTGTTTTATTTCTTTGCAAAAAAATATTGCATTGATGTGCAAACAAAACTACTAAAAAATTTACATTGTTTTGTTGAATTTATTCTTTGTCTCTTTCCTCAAGAAAGAACAGTGAAGCTAGGGGGTTTCATGGAGTGAAAAAATCTTGAAATTACATACAATATAAGAAAATTATATTTCTCAAAATTTTCTGTTTCCAAAAAAATCTAAAGGGGTTGTAGACAGTGCAGGAGCTTATGTGGGGAGGTCTATGTAAAACCACCAATTTAAACAGAAAAATTTGCAAAGATTTTCGTTTTTTTGAGGAATCTATGTAAATCTTTAAAATTCCTGTGTATAATCAGCAAATTAGTTTTTGCCGTAAATTTAAATCAAAACTTGTAGTTTTAGAAAATCAAAAATAAGAAAAACTAGAAAAAATGAATATTTCATTTTTAAGTAACTCTGGTTAAAGGAATAATTGTTAAATATGTTTAGTTCAGGGAATATTTTAAGAAATACAGAAACTTAAAGTGTTTGTAAACGTAATTTCAAATAGAGCTATTCTTTAGTTTTAAAGTGGCATGTTCCAATAAACGCTTTATCTTATTTATTATGAATTAGTATAGCCAGAGTCCGGATTTAATGAATTTGAGCCGCGTCTCAAATCCGCCAAAAACCGGATTCAATTGAGCGCCGGCTTAAAACTTGAAACATTTAATACAATTTTTAAGTGGAACCAACCATATTTGAGCCGTCAAACAGTTCCTTTTATATGAATTATAATTATAATATCCAAGAAAATTATTTAAAAAGATATAAAGGTGTTTTCTCCACGCGGCGGCGCGGCGCTGTTGATATTTAATACTTTTGAGAAGTCTTCATAAGATTACATGCAGAGTGTCACAAAAAATGGTGAACATGGAGTTTTTACAACTTAATTAATTTCAATGCCAAGGTTCCAAAAGAATTAGATTCTTGTTCAAAATGTATTCCTCATTGAATCTTTGCCACCACTTTCAATTTTCTAATCCCTATATCAGTGCAACTCAATGACTTAAGCCTTCGATGTTTCAAACTTAGATTATTTGAGCTACCAGAATTCAGAGTTTGAAATATTTAAGGTCTACGCCATTTGGTTGCAGAGATATTGGGAATTAGAAAATCAGAGTTTTTGGCAACAACTCAATTCCTTTGTTTAAAGAAATTATTTTTGACTTTTAATATTATGTTTATAGACGCAAGGTTTTATTCAGATCATTGATTGCATTAAATTAAAACAACCATAATAATGGCTCTCTTTTATTAAAAAAAAATATTTATAAAATATAAACTATATACAAATGTGGCGAAAGATAATTGATGACTATAGGTTGTAATAACTGAATGATTTGTTAAATTGTGAAATTAAATTGTTTTTTTTTACGGTCTATGTCGTATGTTGCAATTTTCTCAATTTGTATGGACGCTAAGCTATTCGGTATGAGACGTCTTTATCAATTTTCTCCTTTTAGACGCAACAGAAAGAAGTAAGATTAGTAGCGATCAAAAGCGCGTTTTTATGGCATTAAGCCTATACCCCCTTTCATTTTTCGCGAACACTCCCTTTAAAATAGCTTTTTAAATTTAGAAAATCGACGATATCTTCCACATTATGATTCGTTAAAGATTTAAAGGGTACTGTTGTGAATAAATTGAAAATTAACTTAAAATTACGGCTACAGTCCCTTTAACAAACAGTTAAATTACGGCTACAGTCCCTTTAACAAACAGTTAAATTACGGCTACAGTCCCTTTAACAAACAGTTAAATTACGGCTACAGTCCCTTTAACAAACAGTTAAATTACGGCTACAGTCCCTTTAACAAACAGTTAAATTACGGCTACAGTCCCTTTAACAAACAGTTAAATTACGGCTACAGTCCCTTTAACAAACAGTTAAATTACGGCTACAGTCCCTTTAACAAACAGTTAAATTACGGCTACAGTCCCTTTAACAAACAGTTAAATTACGGCTACAGTCCCTTTAACAAACAGTTAAATTACGGCTACAGTCCCTTTAACAAACAGTTAAATTACGGCTACAGTCCCTTTAACAAACAGTTAAATTACGGCTACAGTCCCTTTAACAAACAGTTAAATTACGGCTACAGTCCCTTTAACAAACAGTTAAATTACGGCTACAGTCCCTTTAACAAACAGTTAAATTACGGCTACAGTCCCTTTAACAAACAGTTAAATTACGGCTACAGTCCCTTTAACAAACAGTTAAATTACGGCTACAGTCCCTTTAACAAACAGTTAAATTACGGCTACAGTCCCTTTAACAAACAGTTAAATTACGGCTACAGTCCCTTTAACNGCAATTCGGTTTATAACACATTGTCCTATAATTTTCAAAAAGAGAATTTAGTAGTCTATTTTTAAATATACTTAGAGAGTTGCTTCTTTTTAAGTCAAGAGGCAGGTTATTCCACATCTTAAGAAGAGAGCTTGATGGTAAATACTGTAATGAGCAAATTTTGAGAATGTCAAGTTGATAGATCTTTCAAAGTTTCCAAGCTTTTTAAAAATGTTTCAAAAGATGCAGGAAGAAGTTCATGTTTATATTTATACATAAATATAGCTTGGTTAAAGTCTACCAGATCATTAATCTTTAGAATCTTATACTTAAGGAAAAGAGGATCACTATGAGACGTGGCTTTTGAGTTATCAATTAATCTTATTGCCCATTTCTGTAAAATGTGAATTTTTTTCATTTCTGAACATTTGTTTCTTCCCCAGGCTGAAATTCCATATTCTATAAATGATCGAAATAAAAGTTGTAAATGGTTAGTTTAATATTGCTAGGAAGAATATTTTTTACACTTGACAAAGCAAAAACTGCACTGGATGCTTTGTTTTTAGCCGACTTAAGATGATGGTTCCAGTTAAGATTTTCGTCTAAATGAACACCTACAAACTTAAAAGATTCATTTTTGCATCCAGTTCCTACTCTTTCTATATGTTTATTATCTATTTGAAGTTTAAGAGAGGTGATACTTACATCTTCTTTTTTTTATTTTTGAAGACCAATCTTCTATTTTAGAGAGCTCAAAATTTGCCAAATCATAAAAGTTAAAATAATAATATCAAATTTTTAAAAGATTAAAAAGCTAAGTACTTAAAGTGTTATTGGTGTTTTTCTATTTCAATATTTCTACATTTTCAAATCTACAGATTAAGATATTTTCTGCTCAAATATGTTAATGCAAAGAATAAGAAATCTTTAAGAAAATTTCAATCGCGTTTTGGTTTGATTTACGGGGAAAACAGAAACAATCGCTAATAAGGTTAAACTAATGGCTGAAGCTTAGTAGTTTTTAAAAATCGGCCCAGTCTCACTTGTTAGTGAACATAATTGCTAAAGGTGTGAGCCTAAAGTTTTCAGCATCCCATCTGGCCCAATCTTGTTGTTTTCAGCATCCCGTCTGGCCCAATCTTGTTGTTTTCAGCATCCCGTCTGGCCCAATCTTGTTTCTGTTTATGCATAAATTCTAGTTAATGAATTTCTGGAAGGCCTGGAACTATAGAACAACGATAAATTATCCTCACACCCTTTTTCAACAAAATAATAGAAAACAAAACTAGTTTACAGGAACCATTCAGAGTATTTTTTTTTAAGTGATCGAGGAAAAATCTAATGAGACGAATAGAATATTTTAAAAAAATTTCAAATGAAATTATTAAATTTTAATCTGAGGAAATTTTTTTATTTCTCCGACAAGTTTGAAGGTTCAAAAAGGCAAAAATAAAATTTTGAATTCCATGTTTTCGATGTTTTACAACGGAAAGTTTTACTTTGATGGCTTTGATTACAAAAAAAAGAAAATCGGTTGGAAACTGAAATTTAGGCTTTTACATCAAATATTCAATTATCATTAAAAATCCTGCTTAAAATTGGCTTCATTCATGAATTATATTTATCATTAGATCAATAATTGTTCGCAGATATATATAGGCTTTTACATCAAATATCCAATTATCATTAAAAATCCTGCTTAAAATTGGCTTCATTCATGAATTATATTTATCATTAGATCAATAATTGTTCGCAGATATATAGTTTTTTCGTTAAAAAATTTAGTTTATAATTGAGGCTATGGCACCAGCTACTGTTTTTTATATAAAACCAGTAAATAAAAATAAACTTTATTCCAGTTTCTAGATTAAAGCAAATCTATTTATTTTAAAAAATGTTTGTTTACTTTATAAAACTAGTTTCTATAAAGTATAAACATTAATGCATCAGCATATGTTGACTGGAGGAAAAATGCAATCTTTAATAAAAATTAAACTTTTTCATTTTTCCGTCCCCCTCCTTCCCCTTTCCCCCCTTTTTCCCTATAATCCTTGCTTCTTAGTCTTTCTTTCCTAGTGCTTTCCCTTTCCCTTTCTTCCCTTCTTTTCCCTGTCGACCTTCCCATGGCTCAATAGCTCTCTATCCTTTTCCTTTCCGCAGTTTTTTTTTTATTTTTCCTTCACCCTTTCTCCTTTTTAGCTATTGAGCAGCCCAAACTAAGCTAACAAACCCCCAGCCTNCTGAACAATGATTTGGCTGGTGTCCAAAATCCAGCCCTATAACTCGGCTGGATTCCATCATTAACAAATCTTATTTTTTATTTCACCATGAAAGGATCAATGAGTTTTTGTGCCGATGTTGGATCATATAATCTATGTTTGAAATATCTAAAGGGTACACCATTAAATTGCAAGAACGTATATATATATATATTTGTGGGTTAGAAAATGTGGGTAATGGCAAAGACTCAATTCCTGTCATTTCAAAAGCGCCACAAACGCAATTTTTAATGACCCTCCGGCCTCTCTGCATAGATTATATCAAGTCTGATTTACAACAATACCCTTTGAATCTCTCTCTTCTTTAATGCAGCAGGAGAAAAAAAAGAAAATTACCAGAATTTAACACTTTCTAAGAGAAAAAAATAATGTCTTCTTTTTATTCCGGGTACAGTTGTGAATAGAGCCTATATAGTATAAAGTGCATTGTGCATTCTATAAATGGTCTAAAGAATTTCTCACGGTGTGTGATTTTGTGAAGGTGTATACTGATTGATTATTTGTTCCGATATTTGGGGAAAAGACATTCATTAAAAAATGTCATCTACGTATAATTCTGATTTTTAAAAATGGTTTTCTTGAATTGAAAATTGATCAGAAGTAAACTATAACTTCACTCTTGTGTGCATTTAAATCAAAACGATTCAGAATAACATTTTTTATCTACTTCGTCGTAGATTTGTTTTTAAAGGGACTATATGCGAAATTTCATGTAGGTCTGAGTCTTCATGCAACTTGAAAACTGTAGGTATGAAAGCTCTGTCTGATCAAGTATGTATCAGATATTGGTGTTTTTAATTTTGACAGTGAATTGATCGATTTTCTGTAGGAAAACGTATACGGTAATTATCAGAAATACACATTTTTTTCAATGACAATATTATCCTCATTATTGGTGAGATGATGGTTTCAAGGGTACCGTTGTAAATCGGACATTGTCATTTTTAGATAGGGGGTCACTTAAATTACGCTTATACAGTACCTTTATAATTCATTTATTTCAGTTTCAGTTCGCTTTTGTTTTTGCTTTTGTTTAGGAAACTTTATTATTTAAAAAAAAATTAAATTACAATTTCTTTAAGGTTTCTGAAAAGGTGTGCACTTACAAAAGAAGAAAAACCTGATTGCGTAACAAGAAAATGAGCTGATTGCATAATCAGGAAATCAGCTGAATGCGTAACGAGAAAAACGAGAAAATTTTGAACGAACTTGAATTTGCATTTATTGAGACAGGTAGAATTTTGATACGGAGTAATTCGAATTAATTCACGTCATCTAGATCGGAACAAAATGCATATAAAAATTTTTTTTTTAAATGTTACCCCCTTTTGTTCGTTTTCAGTTTTTTTCTTTAATTTTGTATTTTATAGCTTTCTAGAAATTAATGTAAAAAAATTCATTTAATCTTATATGTTATAAAATGCATAAAATAAGGTTTTTAACTGACCTACATCAACTCCGAATTCTAGAATACATATTTTCGATTTTTCTAACTCAATAGTTTCCTTTCTCTATATTTTTGCAACCTAATGTTATAAACCTTTGATATTTCAAATTGAGATTATTTTATCAAACATTATTCATATTTTGAAAGACCTGCGACTCAAACTCAACTCAAAATAAACAGCAATCATGATCATTGATCAATCAATCAATCTAATTATCGTGCATATGAAAATTGGTTATTTTATATTTTGAAAATTTGAAAAAGCAAACAAACAAAAAGTATTTTTATGGTCAATTTTTTAAAATTATTTGATTAGGCTATTTCAACGCTAAGTTTATAAAAATAACAACTTTAAGTTGTAAAACGACACATTTTATCTCTCCATCACTTTGTTTATTTTAATAACCTTTGTTAAGAAGGATCCATGATAACCAAATGTAAAATTTCTTTCATTTTTCAGAATGGGAGGCGCACTGTATGGATTGGTTAGGCTTACTTTTAACACACTGTACCCTGGATATAAATCTTTCAAGGTAGGAACCCCAGAGACCAAAACTTAAGACAGGATATCGTCAATAAACCCAGTACTGGAAACTGGGTTTCACTAGGGGGGCTTATTATAATTAACTTACTCATTCTTGAAACCACGTTTCCGGTGCTGGGTTTCATGACGATACCCTGTCTTAAGTTTTGGTCTCTAAGTAACAAAGGACCGTTCAACAATATTGTTAACGGTCCTTCCATAAACTCAAGCATACTCTTTATAAAAAAGTAAGAAAATTTACTGGAAACTGGGTTTCACTAGGGGGGCTTATTATAATTAACTTACTCATCCTTGAAACCACGTTTCCGGTGCTGGGTTTCATGACGATACCCTGTCTTAAGTTTTGGTCTCTAAGTAACAAAGGACCGTTCAACAATATTGTTAACGGTCCTTCCATAAACTCAAGCATACTCTTTATAAAAAAGTAAGAAAATTTTCATCAATCCGGCCAGTTTTTTGGCAAACCATTGGTCTGTACCTTTCTTATTTTTGAATAAAGGTCACAGCGCACAGTTTATAATCTTTTCTTGTAACTCTCGTCTATTTGATAAAGAACTCAAGGCAAGTTTTAAACAACCAATAATACTGATAGCAATCTTATTAAAGGCGCAGTACACTTAGTTGCAGATTATCCTCAATTTGTAGATTGGAATGTGAGATTCACAGCGGTTTAAAAGTTTAAAAGTGTTTGCGCTGACCCATTTTTTTAAATAAAAAACAAAATTTCATAACGTTTTTTGAAAGTTTAATTAAACAATTTTTTCTGCATGTTGGTAATTTTTTAAGAAAAAAATCATATAAAAATCATAAATAGAAAACGAATCATGCGGTCAAGTACTGAAGAACGTGGCGTCCGTACAAATTCATAAGGTTGCAATATTCTCGCAACAGATAGAAATAAGATTAGTAGCAATAACCATTAAATATTTTTCGACGTAAGCCTTTACCCCATTTTTTGCGAACACTCCCTTTCAGAATTGATGATTTTTTTGTTTGTTTATATAGGCTGTTAAAAGTAAGAATGTACAAGACTATGTCCGTTGGATGATGTATTGGATCGTCTTTGCTTTCTTCACAGCTCTAGAAACCTTGCTCGATCCGTTCCTACTATTCTGGTAAGTTCACAACATAGATAAATAAGTATACTAATAGGACAGGAGGTGTAGTTGAAATCAAAGATTTAAAGATGAAAAGAAGGTGCATTTGAAATCAAGTATGCAGATACAACAGGAGGTGTAGTCGAAATCATAGATAAAAATAATACAGATAGAACTTGAGGTGCAGTTGAAATCATAATTAGTAAATAATAATACAGATAGAACGTGTAATTGAAATCATAGATAAATCACTATACAGAAAGAACAGAAGGTGTAGTTGAAATCAAAGATAAATGAGTATACTGATAGGACAGTAGGTGTAGTTGAAATCATAGATAAATAAATATGCAGAAAGAACAGAAGGTGCAGTTTAAATCATAGATAAAAATTTACTGATAGGAAAGGAAGTGTAATTGAAATCATAATTGGTAAATAATAATACAGATAGAGCATAAGGTGTAATTGAAATCATGGATAAATCACTATGCAGAAAGAACAAAAGGTGCAATTAGGGTTGTTATTCGTTTTAGAAACGATCGTTAAACGATTGTTTTTTGTTTCGTTTTTCAATCGTTTTCAAAACGATCGTTTCGTTTTCGGAAAATACGATCGTTTTTAAAAACGACCCACTCGCTTTGATTAAGGAGGGGGCATGTCCTTCCCTTAAGAAAGCTTGTTCCCCCTTTAGGGGGGGGGGGCAGTAGCTAATTTTCTCGAAAATTTGAAAAAAATATGCACCCATTGTAATTCTTTTTTAAAACCTACACTCTTTAAGCAAACTCAAATTCAACTATAACATTTTTCAATATAAGCTCAGATTCTTTTTATTTTCCACCTTTCTTTAAAAAATGACTCCAAATTTGAATTTTCCTTTTTTGTGCTGATGTAAATAGACGCAAATATGTTATGCATTAACATCTATGTTTTCATTAGAGTACACTTATGAAACAATTTATCAAAAGAGTTATTAAGATTGCTTTCAGAAAAAAAAGATTTAGGTAAAATTTGTCCAATCAGCCTTAAAGGGTCTGAACACGTAGTTTTAAACGACACTACTCTTTACAGCTTTAAATGACTTATTATTATATAAAACTGAAAATGGATTATTTTCTATTTTAGTTTCTCTATTTTACATGATTTGAGCATTAATGTTACATGAAGGAAATTTTTGGACGACCAGCAATATAAAAAACATTTTTTATACAATACATGGATAAGGTACCATTTAAAGTTACCATTGAGGACAGGACCTCTTTGGAGAATGTACTGTCACTTGAAAAAAAAAATAAAACAATCCCTTTAAATTAAGTAAACAAATTTTATTTTTTATTTTTCATGAAATGTATTGCCTGCACAAATAAACCTCTAATATCTGGAAAAGACAGTTATTGAGGAAAAAATTAAATTTTTCAAATTTTCTCTTTAAATTTCTTCTGTAAAGGTTTTGAAGATTTATAATTTTATTATTGCAAAGGGGAATGAGCCTGGGGGGGGGTAGGTCTACATACTATATCAGGTCAGGTCAAGTAAGAACAAATAAGGTCAGGTTAAGTCAAATTAGGCCAGGTCAGAACATGTTTGGTCGGATCAGGTCGGGTCAGGTCAGGTCAGGTCAGGTCAGATGAGCCGACCAAAATCCAACAATGATTCTTTTTAATTGTTTAGGTTCCCTTTCTACAGTGAGATAAAGATAGTTCTCCTCCTCTACCTTGTATCTCCTGTTACTAAAGGATCAGGAGTTATATACAGACGGTGAGAACACAACACTTTAACCTAAACCTTGTATCTCCTGTTTTAACCTAAACCTTGTATCTCCTGTTACATAGTAGAAAGTTTTTGTAAGATAAGCCCTAAACCTTAGAAAAAAATGTCTTGGTGATGTAGCTGATTCTTTAAAAAAAAACATTTGTAAATCACTTCGGCGATTAAAAATAGCGTTAACCGTTTTTTCAGGTTTCTTCATCCTCTTCTTTGTCAAAGAGAAGATTATATTGATGCTGTACTTCTCAAAGTCAAAGAGCAGGTTGTAGATTAAAGATATGACAGCTTATTTGATATTTTCAGATACTTTGCCATACACTTGCCTTATTTAATTTTCCCAGAGGTAATATTGACCATAAGTTGTACTTGCAATAGATAAAGGAAATTGAGCTTTTTACCACAAACTAAAATTTTCGAATTCCTATATATTTACAGCCTGATGGTGGAACCCTTCGATATTTGTATGCAAAGAAAAAGGAAATAGAAAATCAGAGTTTGTGGCAGTGACTCAATTCCTTTAATTATATCAAATAACATTCTGCTTATCGTGGGTGGTATCGATTCGTGAAAAAAAAATTTTGCTTTTAAGAGGTTTGAACAAATTTCGGTTTTGTGGCTTTAACTCGCTTCCTCTTGCATGGTCATGATTTATTCTCAATGGATATATGGCGATATTGATATCTATAAATTTAAACAAATATTTTTTTCTGAATAATTATATTAAAGAATTAAAGAAATCACCTTTGAAAACGGATTTGCGGAAGAATGATTGGAGAAAAATATGAAAAATAAGTTGATTGAATTTTAATGCAATATTTTTCTTATTTACTTTAAAATCATATTTTTAATCATTTAGTGAAGAAAAAATAAATTACTTTCGAGAAAAGAAGGATTAAAAAATTTAATAAAATAGACTTCAGATTTTACAGATTATTTGCGATAATATTAGAGATCCCTTTTCTGTTTTTGAAATAATGTGGAATAAAAACTTAGAATGTTTGCACATGTCATAGATAAAGATAGACTGCGCATAAGACGACATTTTTTTATCTTGAAAGATATAAATGTACAGAAATGTTTTAAAGATATTCCTATTGTATAGATAGATTAACTAGGTCGGTTGTGAACATTGGCTGTTCTTATATCATTGAGTACTTGTGGTGTACATGAGTTCTGTAAAAAGAAATTTAAGTTAGTTTAGTCCTTCTCATGTCCTGCTTCAGTTCTAGTCAATATGATATATTGCTCAGTGAAATAATTTGATATTCTCAAAATAAAATTCACTCCTGAGTGGTTTAATAATTATAAACACCAAACCACCCCGCTTATCATTGAAGTACACTTTGACCCCTAGAAGTATGAGTTCGCGGACTGTGCATTTATTGTTGATTTTGCGTACATAAGCTATCTATGTTTATTTATTTATCTATGGCACATGTCTTGCATGGAAAAAAAACACAATAATGCTGACCGCGGAGTTTCGATGATTGAAAACCTTGCACCCCCTGCAAGGTTTTTATGAGCTAGTAATTATTATGAGCTAGTTAGTCAAGAGTATAGACACTGATCTGAGATGAAGAAAAAAGCCAGCACCTCTTTAAGTTTCGAAAAAACAAGAAAAAAAATCCAAACTTGCTGGAAGGGACAGTCAACAGAAGAAGAAAAGGAATATAAGATGACAAGAAGAATTATGATAGAATATTTCTGTATGATCTGTACCCAATAATTTAAAAATTCATAATAATTGTTAGATTTAAAATTCAAACAGAAAATATGTAAAAAATAGTTTCTGACTTTAAACTCACAATCAATTCAACTTGACAAGGTTTTCAATCACAACTTCCTTTCTGAAGATCTGTTGGAAAAAGTTTTGAAGTTTTGGAGAACTTTTAAATTTGGGTGTATACTGTATATTTGCAAACAAACCAGTGTCTCCTCAAAAAAAAGAGTTACGAAATTGCATATTCAATAGTTACAGAAAGGTTGTTAAGTAAGGTTGCTTACTCTATATGTTCGGGAAAGGTCGTCTCCAAAGCAGTGGACAGTTAAAATCTGCAAATGACGTCACTGATTATGGGTCAGTGTAATTACTATAATTAGGGAGACGGTTTGAAGGTGTTCGGATCGATTTAATTTCACACCCGAAAACCGTCTCCATAAGCACACTACCTCATAAATTGTAATGTCATTTCCGGATTTTACTGTCCATTGCTTTGGCGGCAAAATATATCTCTTAGATTGGAGCGCATCGAGAGTAAGCAACCTTACTAAACACTTGGGTAACAGTAACAAAAAAGATGTAAACAATTCTGTATAAACTTGTCTTAGTCTCAAAATGAATCCCTGCCTGCAAAGTTCCGTGTAAATATTTTTTCTAAGTTTTCTTTTTTTAAAGATGCTCACATCTAAATTATTTTTTTTTAATATGCAGACAGTGCACAGTGTACACTCTTCCATGTAGCAGGGGAAAATATATTCTATTAAAACATTCACCACATTAAAACATGCGGATAAACAATTTAACTATAAAACTATGAATAACATTTCACAATTTAATTAAACCAACTCGGAATTTCAAGTAAATTAAAAAATATATGCAAGCAGAAAGATTTGTCTTAAATCTGGAATACTCGATAACAAAATTCGATTGATACGGCGTCCCATAGTAGTTCTTTTTAAAAAAGCTTTTTGTTCAAATGCTAGCTATAGCTGGCGAAACAGCTGAACCACAAATGGGCTATAGCTGGCGAAACAGTTGGACCACAAGTGGGCTATAGCTCGCGAAACAGCTGAACCAAAAACGGGCTATAGCTGGCGAAACAGCTGAACCACAAGTGGGCTACAGCTGGCGAAATAGCTGAACCAAAACTGGGCTATAGCTGACGAAACAGCTGAACCAAAAATAGGCTATAGCTGGCGAAACAGCTGGACCACAAATGGGATATAGCTGGCGAAACAGTTGAACCAAAAATGGGCTAAAGCTTGCGAAACAGCTAAACCAAAAATGGACTATAGCTTGCGAAACAGCTGCACCAAAAAATGGGCTATAGCTTACGAAATAGTTAAACCAAAAATGGGCTATAGCTTGCGAAACAGCTAAACCAAAAATGGGCTATAGCTGGCGAAACAGCTGAACCAAAAATGAGCTATAGCTGGCGAAACAGCAGAACCAAAAATGGGCTATAAATATATATATACATAAATTGTTGGGGATATTCACGAGTACCCGTACGTAGGGTTACATAGACTAAAAAATTGGATTCAGCTAGTTGTTTATATTTTCTTCTAATCTGTAATAAATAAAATGGAAAATGGAAAAAAATAATAAATGATAAATGAAAATTCTGAAAATCGTATTTTTAAGGGTTACAATACACTGTCCTCGTACACTACCAGAGGACTAACATGGCTGGCTTCAACCATCCTCACAACAGCTATACAGGGAGGGGGTACTGTACTCAACAAAATCAAGTACAACATTTTAGAAGTCCCATTTCTGTTTAATTAGCTACACTGCTCAGTAAGACCCATAAAACTACAAGATGTCCCAAGAAACATGACAGCTGGTGAGTTTAAAATGTCTTCTTCCATAATTTGTTAAGTTGTTAAATATCAAAGATAATAATAAAACATATTTCATGGCATTCATATTTTAGTAAAATTGATTTCAAAGAAAAAAATATTTGAGTAAAAAGATTTTTAAAACTAAATAAACTGCAAAAAGTCTTTATCATATAATACAGTATATGGAAGAAGACATTCAAAACTATTCACCAACTGTCACGTTTCGTGGGACAAAGAGAACGACGATATTTAACAATTTTATTATAATTAGATGCTGTTTGAAAACAAACGTTAAATGATTTAGATTTGTGTACACTTGCACCATTGCTGGACTATTTGAAAGCATAACTTTAGGCTAACAGTCGTCTTCTCCTACTGAACAGTAAATGGGTCTTACTGTATATTTTTTAGAGTAGTATAGAAGTGCGTCTTTCTGTATTGTTTGTTTGATAATTACTTTGGAATTTATTATATTTGAAAAATATATAACATCGTTTTTCTGGCTCGAAAAGTTTCAAGTTCTTACAATTTCAATATCTAGAAAGCATGCTTACAGTCCCTTTAAGTAAAGGTAAGTGTACATGTTTTGTTGGTGCAAAGTCTTAAAACAAAGTTTAAAATATCAAAAAAATGACCTCCGACCAGATCACGTAGAATATATACTCATTTAATAGGGTGTGTCACAATTTTGAAAGATTTTCTTTAAATGTTAAACTTAAAATAGTATTTATTTGTTTAGAAGATCCTACAGTTTGCTCGAGATCACTGATCTTGCAGAACTTGCTTTCAGGAATATTTTTTATTTAAATTCATATTAATATATATATATATTTTCATATCTGTATTTGTCGGTTTGTTTCGACACGATTACCGGCGATGAAACAACTAAACAGACCCAGGCCCTATTGCCGGTTAAAGTTATCAAATATAAGATATGTCTCCCAGCTGTCAATTTTTTTAAAATCGGATTTCGCAAATTTTTCAGAGTCAGAATTTGCGCATTTTCAAAACCAATATATTTTTTTCAGTAAACAGACAAGCATAGTATATATACAGTGATAACTAGAAAACTTTGGAATAGGAAGTCGACTTTTAAACTCAAGTTATGACTTTTGATAGCGCATTGAGCATGAGACACAGCAATTGTGCAAGGTAAACAGACCCAGTTTACTTAATTAGTAATTTAATAACTTGCAAGTATAGCTATACGCCATAAACAACATCAAATGCTATGATGTCGTCTTCCTATTTTACAGTTTTCTGGTTATGACTGCTTAAATGATAATATATAATTCCTGTAAGGTTTTCATAAAAGTAACCCCGTAAATCAATTATTCAAAAGTAAACATATGACTAAAAAAAATTTTCTGTTTAAGATGTCTTTGAAATAGAAGTTTCATACTTTCTGCTTAATATTAAACCTTTTATACTGCTAAGAACCATTTCTACTGAATTCAAAGTCTTGAACGGAAGAAATTCGAAAAAAAAACAATTTTCGAGAAAGTTTATTTTTTGTACAGGGTGTCCCATGAAACATGACAGTTGGTGAATAGTTTTGAATGTCTTCTTCCATATATACTGTATTAGATATTATAGACTTTTTGCAGTGCAGTTTATTTGTTTTAAAAAAAATTTTACACAAATATATTTTACTTTGAAATCAAGTTTACTATAATATGGCTGCCATGAAAAATTTGATATTGTTCTCATATTCCTATTCCAGAATTTATTGGAATCATTTCAAAACTTGAGTCTAAATAAAGGTCGTCTTCCTATTACACAGTTCTATGGTTCTTACTGTATTAAGTTAAAAATATTGTCAGGGATGATCATAGATTTCAAGATGTAACAGAAGAAATGAATTCAGGTTAAAAATTTAATAAATTTATAATTCGTAAATTTTACAATTTTATAAAATTTTGTCAATTTTTTTCAGGAATTGTTTACAACGCAACAGTAAGCGTAACAACTAGTTTGAAAGGTTGCTTTGATGTTGAAAAAATTCTTGTTTGTCTGTCTTTTAATGGCTTTTTACACAAATATATGCATATTATACCCCTTGTGATAAATTAAAAATATTTGAAGAAAAAAAATATAAAATTATCATATTTTAGAAATGAGAAACAGGCCGCCATCAAGAAGACGACAATTCCAACGACGAGATCAATTTCAAAATAGTAATTTGTAAGTATAAGCATAATATTAGTTTACTAGCCTTAGAGGGCGCTTCGCGCCCATCTTCTAAATTAATTGTGAACATGTTCTCTTTGTGTAGATCGTGAAACAAAACAAAAATAATTCGCGGATTTTCACAAAAAATTTCGTGGATTTTCAAAATTTTCAAAAATTTAATGAAGATCGAATTTTGATGGAGACAAATATTTGAAATTTTGATCATTCATAAACCTTCCCTGGGGTCCCTAGATGTCCCACAGAAAATTTTGGCCCGATCGGTTTAGCCGTTTTGACGTTTATTGGATACAAACAGACAGACAGACAAACAAACAGACAAGCCAAATTTATATATAGATTACAGTGGAATAGGAAGATAATTAAAGGGACTGTAAAGGAAAAATGAAAGGGGGTATATAGGATGAAACCTGAGAATCTTAGGCGTTGAACGATACATATAAGACATCTATCTGATGTTCAGCTGTCATGACTAATTGATATAAAACTGTGTCAAAATTATACAAAAATTCATATATATACAATTTTGTATAAAAGATCATATTCAGCAAATACGCAACCAATCTAAAAACGATTACGATTTGCTACATAATTTTTCATTTTGAATTTTGCATTTTTAATAACTGCTAAAATTGATAATATTATTACATATAGTCCATATACTCTGTATTACGTCACCAGAACTTCAACCAATGGCAGTGCAGTATACTGGTTACGTGATTTCCGTGATGAAGTGGGTCTGTGTACGCTACACAACTAATTAAAATCATAAATTTGAGTTTAAAAGTCATCTTCACATTTTATTGGCCCCACTCCCATCTCTAATAACAGATAGTCAAATTTTTGTTGAGTCAGATTTTTTAGTTGAAAAATGTCGCATAGGATTTTGTCATTTGTAATTTTTAAACGAAACACATTTTTTTCGATATTTAGAACACATTTTTGGGAAACTCTAGTTAAAATTACAAATTTTTACCGACAAAGAAATGAATGAAAGAAAGAAAGAGAAACAATACAACAACAATTGTTCAACTGTTCACTGCAGTTACCATTGTATAATCTAAATCTTATAAAGCAGTAATCTCTGTTTCTTTGTATATCCGATCATAACTCATAAACCCCCTGACCGATTTGCCTCAAATTTTGATTGGGTAGTTTTAAGTTAGGTGGGTTTTATAGAGAAATTTTAGATTTCAGGCAAAGCCGGGTTCCCAAGCTGGTAAAATAATAAAGTAATAAAACTAGATATAAGTAAAATTAAATATTTTCTTGCAAATAAACTGCAGTAAGCCGAAAAAAAGTGAAAATAAAGAAAATATGATTAAACTAGCTTGGGAATCCAGCTCAGTCTGGAAACTAAGTTTTCCTGGTCGACCTACTCAATTTGGAACTTTTTAACCAAGCGTAGAACATTCAAAATTTGAGGGGAATTGGTCAAGTGGTTCCTAAATCCTAGGTTATGATCGGACACCCCCAAAAAAAGATTAAATTTTATAAACCAAGGTCAATACAATATATCAATACAAAATGAATGAAATGGTGATATAATACAGAGGCTGACATATTCTAAAATACAGTATCCACGGACCACGGTGCTAAAATGCTACAAAATAATAAGTGGTCTGTGTATATACTATATGATCTATTGTAGTATCCGACACTGTATTGATATACATGCAAACTACTGTATAAATAAACATAAGATCGACCATGAAATATGAAAAATTAAAAAGAAAGACAAAAATAAAGAATAAAAATATTATATTTTGTCCCAGAAGATTAGATAGAATTGGGTCCACTGAGTCTCTAAGCTCTGGTTACTGTTCAGGTAAAGAAATAAAAATTGGAAAAAAGTTTTATTTTTTTAAAACTTTTTTTCAAAATATAATTTTTTTATTTTCAGACAGTTTTCTGCCCGTTCAAGCTGAAACTATGGACACACAGGAATATTTTCTTTATCAAAAGTTAAACTTTTTCCGAATTCTTCATTTTATCTTTTTAAAGCTTATTTTAAATCCTTCTTTATGACTATGGTTTAGAAGGTTTCCGCTAAAAGCTCAGTGTTTTTACACTTCAAATAACCCTGAAAGCCCTAAAACTGCTATGGGGGGAGGGGGGTGCATTCAATCTATATATAAATTTGGCTTTTCTGTCTGTTTGTCTGTTTGGGTGTCTGTTTGTTTGTCTCCAATTAACTTCAAAACGGCTGAACTGATCGGGCCCAAATTTTTTGTAAGACATCACGTGACCACAGGGAAGATTTACGAATGATAAAAATTTTAAAAAATGTGTTATAAAAGTTTTTAATTTTGTAAAAAAAAATTAAATTCTTGAAAATCCGCGAATTTTTTTTTTTTAAATCCGCGAACTTTTTTCTTCTTTGTTTTAAAATGTAAACAAAAAGAGCATGTTCACAATTTAAATAGAACTAAAAACCTAGTTCAAATAAAAGTCAAAACGGCTGACCAGATCGGGCCAGATTTTTGTGACTTTCATGACCGGAGCACAGAAACAACGGGCCGTCAAAATTTTAAAATTTTATCTGTAAAAACCTATTGATATTTACCATTTGTTAAACGCTACAGTTTAAGCAGAAAAATTCGCAAATAAATTGTAATTGACAATTACCAATAAATATGTAAAAGTTCATTTTGTCAATAGAAAAGGGGGGGGGTGTCATTGATGAAAAAGCGCTTAATCTGAAAATTACGATGAAAAATATCTCTTTAAATTTAATGAAAAATATGTTGTATAGGATTATGAGCTCTGGGAAAGACAGCAGGTGATTTCTTGGATTTATTTTTTATTTTTGCATTTTAATCAAGTACTTGGAAGGAGACCGATTAAACTCGATAATTTAAAAACATGTTTTTATCAATTTCATGAATTTAATTTTTCTTTTAAGCAGAATTACTGGTTGTTTAATTTAATTTCTCAGGTATATGATTCTTAACGAAATAACAACCGTCCTTTTTGACAGTTGATATTTGAAAAATAAACAGCCAACTCTCTGTGTGTAATATTGTAAAATATTTTGTGTTACATGTTTTACAAAAAATTAAAATCATCTTAACTCTTTAAAGGGACTGGAAATGAAAAATAAAAGGGGGTATAGGATGAAACCTGAAAAAATCATGCGATAAATTTAAGACATCTATCTGATGTTCCTGTCTCGAGAAATTGATATAAAACTGTGTCAAAATTATACGAAAATTCATATTTATACAATTTTGTATAAAAGTAGTAGGTTTAAACAGATAATATTCAGCAAATATGCAACCAATCTAAACACGATTATATCCCACAGGAGTCTGAGAACATCAGGTGTACTCCTCTTATAATTTTTTAATTTTTATTTTGCAATTTTTAATAGATATTCTTGATATTATTACATATAGTGCATCTACTCCGTATTACATCACCAGAACTTCAGCCAATGCATGGCAGTGCAGTATCATTGTCACATGATACAGCCGGAAATCACGTGACCAGTTTCTCGAGACAGGAATATCAGATAGATGTCTTATATGTATCGTTCAACCCCTGAGATTTTCAGGTTTCATCCTTTACAACTTACATTTTTCCTTTACAGTCCCTTTAAAATAAAAGAGTCTCCTCACATTTTTTAAAATATGAGGATTAAATTTTGAATTTACCCAATTTATTTAACAAATACAAGATAAGACTTATTTTCTAAAGGATATTCTAGCAAATTGTTAAAATACAAAACATTTTGAAAATTTGGAAATTGAAAAAGGAATTGAGTTTTTGCCACAAACTCTGATTTTCAAATCCTAATATTTTTACAACCCAATGTCGTAGATCTTAGATATTTCAAAATATAAATTCTGTAAGATTAAAGAATCTAAGTTTGAAATATGATGTTAAGGCATTAGGATTAGAAATAAAAATATTTAATGTTTAAATAATTGTTTTATTGTTTTAGACCCGTTTCACCCCTCGAAACACTCGAAGAGGACTCCCATCAAGAAAAGTAAATTATAATATGTTTATGTTTTCTTGTAAATTATATTGCAAAGTATAAAAAATGAAGGAATTCAATAAAAAAATATGAATCTCTATTAAAAATAGAATTAATGAGAAAATAACTCATACTGAGTAATACTAATAGATATCATAATGTTTTTTGGACAAATAATGAATCCCCTTATCAGAAAATTTGTAATAAAATTATCCACATTAATTACTCATTATTTTCACATTATTTTCACATTAAATACACATTATTTTCAAATTAATCACACATTATTTTCACATTATTTTCACATTAATCACACATTATTTTCACATTATTTTCACATTAATCACACATTATTTTCACATTATTTTCACATTATTTTCACATTATTTTCACATTAATTACACATTATTTTCACATTATTTTCACATTATTTTCACATTATTTTCACATAATTTTACATTATTTTCACATTATTTTCACATTATTTTCACATTATTTTCACATTATTTGCACATTATTTTCACATTAAATACACATTGTTTTCACATTATTTTCACATTAATTACACATTATTTTCACATTATTTTCACATTAAATACACATTATTTTCACATAATTATACATTATTTTCACATTATTTTCACATTATTTTCACATTATTTTCACATTATTTTCACATTAAATACACATTATTTTCACATAATTTTACATTATTTTCACATTACTTTCACATTATTTTCACTAAAAGGGGATACATTTTTTGGTCTATCTGTCGGCTCTGTCGCGTTTTGCCGTCTGTAGTTGTTAAGGGTGTGAGTGTGACCGTGTGACATGTTTCTAAAGTCATTTTATAGAAGCAAAATTTCATTTATACTTGTAATTTTTTTTAACATATTTTATCAAAAAAATAACATTTTAGGCAGCGATTTTGATATAGTGAAAATATATCTAATACACATGCTTTAGAAATTTTAGCAAAATTGATTGTTGCTTCTGTAAAATGATCTAACAAAATTGTCTTAATCAATGTGTGTACAAAACAACTTATTTGTATTACTGAAGAGGGTTAAAAAACTTTAAATATGTATTCTGAAAAATATATGATTTTTAGGATGTGCTGTCAGATGAGGAGGACTATCCTTATGAATCTATACATATAACAACACCCTTTGGTCGGGTTAACAGGTACAGGGTGACCCACTAAATATGACAGTAGAAAGACGACTTTAGAGTCGTTTTTTAACTTTGAAATTATTTTTGACCTTCAGTTGTCAACCTCCTTTAGCATTTATTATTCTAGAACCATTAACCACAAAACTCTCCTAGTCCTGGCATTTCCAAGATATGGTCTGCTTATTTGTGCTGTTTACATTAACGGAGATATTAAGAATTTCGTTCAGATTTCAATTTTATTAAATAAAACCAAAATTGTGAAAACCTGAACGAAATTCTTGATATCTCCGGTAAACTAGAAGTCCAAGACTAGGGTTATTTTGTGATTGTAAACTCTAGAATTTTAATTCTTAAATAAGGTTTACAAATAAATGTTGCAAATTATTTCAAATTTCAAAGAAGACCTTTAATCTTCTTGCTAAGTTGTCATGTTTCGTGGAACATCCTGTAGTACTTGGGAAAATGTCGTCTTTGAGTGATTATGTTCCGAAACGTTTTAAAAATGTGCAATAATGTTGTTTGTCATTTTTAATGTTAAAGGTATTTAAATCAGCTGATTCCGGTTTTCTTTTATCAGCAGAAATTCGCTGATCTCTTTTATAGAGAAAACGTAATTGAAAATATTAGTTTTTAAAACTAAAATAATCTAGTTCAGACTTGATCAAACAAGGATGTAAAAGTACGGATGTAAATCTGGCTTTACAATCTTTGCATCGAGGTTCACTTGATACTTATATAATCCTGTCTTAATGGGGCTGTTCGCGAAAAATGAAAGGGGGTGAAGTTATAGGCTTACGGCGAAAAATAAACGCTTTTTTAGATTCAAATTCAAAAACTTGCAACATGCAACTCAGATCATAAATAAATCAATTTAGTTCAAAACAAATCATTCAGATATTATATTAACAAACAATTGTCATCGATAATTTTTTTAACGCATTCACGTACTTTTAGTTAATATTTAATAATATTCTTTTATTTTTCATGATCTGATTCTGATAGTTACTTTTGATAACATTTATTTCTGTTTTTTTTCTGTTTCAAGGATTTTTAATAATGAAGACGAATTTTTATATTTTACAGGAATGTTCGAAAATCCAGCGCCAGCGAAATATTTTTAAAAATAAATAAATAAATAAAAAATATTATGAAATATAACTATTGAATGCGTCGAAAAATAATCAATGACTTTTGTTTGTAAAATCTAAATGATTTGTTCGGAATTAAATTGATTTTTTTACGATCCGAGTTGAATGTTGCAACTTTCCAAATTTTTATGGACGCTGCTTTCTTCGGTATGAATATTTTTTAACAATTTTCTCCTTATAGACGCAACAGATAAAAGTAAAATTAGAAATTATCAAAAGCGCTTATTTTTCACCGTAAGCCTAAAGAACGTTTTTATTTTTTGTGAACCCTCCCAAGGATCGTTTTTAGAAATACCGATCCTGGCTTGCAGTCTCCTGATGTTTGCAGTTCCTACTATCCTTCAGACAAAGAATCTGACGAAGACGATCTCCCGGCAAGAATAGTTAATAATCAGCAAACCGTGACATCAGTTGACCGCCATCTTGAATTGTCTCGTAGATATTCTAGAAATGGCGGAAAAGAGGAACGAGTTTTGAAAGAAACAGCTGATTCATCAAAGACAAAAGACAGGATTACAGTTGAAGAGCTTCAAAAGCTGGCTCGGTAATTAAATCATTTTATAAAGATCTACTCCAACTGTTAACGAAATTCGCCACTTTAAAGGAACTTAATCATATTCACAAATTCTTAAATACCATCAAAACTCAAAAGGCTGTTAATTACTGTTAATAAAGAATTAAACTCCAGCTCAGTGTTTGATCCATGTTGAAATATTCCTTTGTGTTGGGAAATAAATGTATTGGATTAGAAACTCGAAAAAGTAAATTGAACAACTGGAATAAATGTATTTTCATTTAGAAGATTAAATTGTGAGCTAGTGACTAATCCAACGGGTCAGGAAGAAACTAGTCTCCCGAGACCTACACCTCCCAAACGATTTATAAAGTCAGGTAGAAGCAAAAGTATTTTTAAAATCTAAATCCACAACCTGGTAATTAAGAGACAACTTGTATTTCGTCTTTGAAATATGTATTTCTATGAAATATATATCACAAAAATTCAGGAAACATTTTTAAAAAGCATTTTGAAAAGCCAAGGAGTAGGAGTCTTTGAAGTTTACTAAGTTAATCGTATTAATATAATAACTGCTCTATTCACGAAAAAATGCCTTGCAGACCAAAGACGATCTGACAGTCCTTACTTAGTTCCTGCATGTTTATTGACAAATGTGGAATTTGACGAAAAATTGCAGTCAAAAATAAGAATTTCGTGCACTTGCTTGTATTAACATTTGCATGACAATGCTCACCTTACAACAAAAAGAGAACTAGAACGCAGTAGAATTCGCGTTGTCTTCTTTTTTATTTTAATTAAAGATTTTTAAACATCTGAATTTTTTTTTTTACTTTTAGAAATGAAACAGCTGAAGCAATTTCACATTTTAAAATTCTCCGCGTCATTTCTGAAATAAAAGAAAGAACAGAGATAACATTTAATCCACTATATTCTGGTTCTCACTGTATATCAATTAATTTTCAAGTCTATAATTTTAATCTTAATTTTCAGATTTAAACTTTGAAGAAAAAGATAGCGAGGATAAAGGTTTGGATAATTGTATTGACCCCAGTGTGGATTTACATAACCTCACTTCAGTTTCATCCTATTCTCTTCCAATCCAATCTTCTACTAACATCGGTACTGAGGGTTGTAATGAAAAGCAGATCCGACCTTCAGAAGAAATTAGTGATTCGGAATATTTTGAACCTGAAAATGAACCAAGCACTGATGAAAGGCCAGAATTTAAATCTGATCCTGACGATGGATTAATTTTTGAACATGATTTACAGCTAAGTGATTTTGAATATAAATCTAATGAGGAAATTAAGGATACAAGAACCTATTCTCAACCTGATCCAGAATCTTGGGGAAATTCCAACCCGTTTATTGACGATTCATCCCAAACAAACACTGATAACCTTTTTAAATATCAGAAAACAGATTTAATAACAAAGATAGAATTTTCTGATTCTAAAATTGCAGATTTAACAACAATAGAAGATAGTTTGATAAATGAAGAACTAAAAACAGATTTCAGCGAAGTTAAAGAAGATAGTTTGATAAATAAAGAACTAAGAACAGATTTCAGCGAAGTTTCTAAAGAATCATTAGTAACTGACATAGAGACGGACAAATCTGAACTTAGAAAGAACAACACTGAAGAAGATTTTGAGGTTGAAGAAGAAAAATCTGAATTAAAACAAAGAAAAAAATCTCGAGCCCCACCTCCACCCACCGGACTCAATCTTTCTATAGATCAAGCTGCCAGTAATGTTGACACCGGACATGAATTATCTAAAGAACCAGCAAAGGTTGATTCCTATTCTCCAATCGTATCAAACATATCTGAAGACAGGTCTACTGAAGATGGTCATATTTTCTATCGAAGCCCAGGGTTTGATGAAAGCCTATTACTTTCCTCTCCGTCTAGTTATCCCTCGGTAACGCCTGAAATTCGTTTGCAACGAAGCCTTTCTCCACTTTTACAGCAATCATCACAGCTTATTAAAGAGAAACCAGTACCCTTCCAACATCCAACCAAGGTTCTAAATCACAGCCAAGGAATTTCAAGACTTAGAACTTATTCCAATGAAGACGACTTCATTGATTCTACAGAGGGTGGAAATACAACTGAAAACCTTGAGCCTTCTTCACTGTCAAAGTGTCCTCATTGCACTATTCACAGCTGGCTTCCACATTCACCAAGCTGTCCTAAGCTTAAGAAGAAATAAAAAGGTAAAGTGCATTTGTGTGTTCCTGCTTTATTTTGCATGCTTGCTTACGCATTACGCATTAATCATTTTATTCATTGATATATCAGTGGTCGTCGAATATGTATGTTTATTAGGTATGTAAGGAACTACACTATAAAGAATACTAAATTCAAAAGTGCGCAAGTACTCTCTGGAGCAATTTGTAAACAAACGGAGTGCTCCTTCATTCAGTATTAGAATATGGCCTGAAACTATGTGTAAAGCCAGTTCACGGGCAGCCGTAGTTCATTTAAATTTCCGTGCCGGGTCAATTTTTCCGGTCCCAGTTTGTACTGTATCGCCTGGACTTTGGGTGAATAACGCAGACACTCAATAGGACTAGCCGGTGCAACAAGGTTGACGCGGTCAGACTTTAGGTTGAATTTACTTTTACTAAAGGGTCAGGGATTGCAACAGTAAATATCTAAGAAATCCTTATAAATTCTTTAGTTGATTTTCATTATTCTATATTCCTGTCTTTTAAGTATATAATTTCACTATTTTAAGCCTCAGATCTTTATTAAATACATGATTTTTTGTTTTGATCTCCTCCCACTGTAGTTCTATTCTAGTTTTGTAGAAAAAAAACCAAGCTCAGGATTTTTTTATTTAGACTGTTACTGAACTGTGATGTGAAAGCAGAAAAACCTCGGAAAAATCAGAAGCAGCTTCAATTATTTATCGCTAATAAATTGTAGGATTACATATTGTTTGTAAAAATATATACTTGTTTGATCTCAATTACAACGAAAATTTAGATTTTAATATTCAAATACGGATTCTATAAATTCACAAAATTTTAGCAGCTGGATCCGGATCGGGATCCGATTGGGGGCAAAATATCAATCAAAAGCTGTCAAAACAGAAATCACAACTGTTGCAAAATTAGATATTATTAAGAAAGTCTTTTTTTATGAAATGTATTCAAGTTATAGCATAAAAATTAAGCCAAAAAATATAAAAATGGAGAATTATTTATTTGTTCCAAAAATATGTAAACCTATGAAAAGTTCATGGGCCTGGATCATCCGTTTAAAAAGGAAATGGATCCTACACTTATAGGATAATTCTTTGACAGTGAGTGTCATAAAACTGTTAACCAAGAAAAAGACGTCTAATCACCCTTACAAGTATTGGATGTCGTTATAAATATAAAGCCGATAGTTTGGCAAGTATAAGCTCTAAAATCAAATTAGTGAAATTGCTTTGTTTACGCTACACTGCTCAATTGCCGTGTTTCATTCGTTTCATGTTCATTAAACTTTATAAAATCAAAATGGTCGTCTTATCAATGCACGTCTCACTATACGATATTTTGTTTAGACTAGAAATGATAATTTTTTAAAGCTTATATATTCCTCAGTTATCCTGGATATTTTCTAACATAAAAGATCCGCTAAGTTAATTTTTATCCAAAATCTCATTTTTTTCGTTTAAATATATTTAAGTTATTAATGAAGAAAAAATAAAACGCATCGTTCCAAAACTTTAAATTTGAATGAAATATAATACGGGCGAGATGACAAGTTTTTAAAACTTGAGATTTTATCATATTACATTTTACAGTGGTGCCTATAAAACTGTGAACTAGTAAAGGCGTGTGTGTCTTATTTTGTTATACAAAAATAGTGTTACCAGTAGCTTGATAATCAGCTGATAAGTGAAGATGGTCTTTGTACGCTGAACAGTTGCTGTGTTTCATGTTTGTTGAACTATTTTGATCAAATCTTTAGTTTTACAGTCATCTTTCCATTCCACAATCTTATCAGTTTTCAAATAGAAAAATAAGAGTATCTATTTCAAGGGCGTATACAGAAATAAATTGAGAGGGGGCGAAATTTGCGCGAAGGGCGAAAAAAATCTCCCCCTAGGAGCTCCTATAGAGGGGGGGGGGCAAAATTTGAACTGTAAATTCAAAACATTTGGCTTCATGGATATCAGGCATAAGTATAAGATAAACTTCCCAGCAAGAAAACCTACTCCGCTTTTCTTTTGTCCTCAAGTGGAGGACTCCTTTTTTCCACCGAAAATAGAGAATCCTCCTCATTTCCTCCAAAAACGGAATTCCTGGGAAATTCCTTTTGATTAGAGCATTGCAGTTACTCATTAAGTGGAGTGCTCCTTTCTTCCACCAAAAACGGATGGTTCTCCTCATTTCCCCGATCCTTCTATGGAGAGCTAATCACTAAAGTCAAATTACCTTGCAAGTAGTACTTTATTTCTCCTAAAAACAAAACTAGCAGAAAAATACGTTGTTTCTAAAAAATCGACATTTTTTATACAGTTATGTTAGACAATTAGTATTTATAAACTATAAGTATAATATAATTTTTAAAATGAAAAACTCTATTTAAACTTAAATTCTATGAGATGAAAAAAGGACAAAGGTCCAGAAAATAATTATGACTTGTAAAAGTTTCTGTTGTAAAAAAAAGTAGGAGAACAATTGTAATCTATATGGCGGGCTAAACGACTGAATCAAATGGGCTGAATTTTAGTGAGGAAACTCATGGTTACCATGAAATAAGCTAAATAAATTTAATTTTTTTTGTTTTAATTCGATTTTCAAAATTCCACGGGCAACGCCGGGCACTTTATGCTAGTTTTTTATAAAAGAAAGATTACAAAACGGCGGTGCAATAAATAAAGTAAATTAAATCCAAATTTTAAAAAAATGGTCTTTTATTCCCTTAAAACTCAAGCCTTCGTGGCATGGCATTTAAAAATAATTGTGTTACTTTGCCATCCCTAATAGCGCCCATACGATTCGGATAAATAGATTTTTCATTCGGACTTGTGTCATGGTGGCTCTGTAACAGTCTTCTTAGTGCACTGATTGAACGGCAAACTTATTGTTTTATGTTCTTCACTCTTAATTGAAAAGTGAGAAAGCTCGTTATAGGTCTTGAGGGGCACTTACCCATTGCCCCCCCCCCCCGTATACACCCTTGAATTATATTTCCATTATTATACTTTGATCAACAGTTTAAGATATATTTATGAAGATTTGACGTAAAAGAAAAAGGAAAGGACTCTATCTTTCATTAAATGTGTGAATCATTTAAATTATACATATATATACACTGAATTCATCATTAAAACTTTGTTTTATTTCAAAATTTAAACAAAATTACTTTTACTAAAAGTATAACAAACTGTGCAGTTGTTGTTGTTTAAAGTATTGAAGAAATTATTTCCACGTTATGGTAAAGGATTTTCCGAATATTCAAGCTGTTTGCGGATTTTTCAGTTTGCGTGTTGAAAAGTTTTCCTTCAGAGATTTGATTTGTTGATTGGAAATGGTAGTTTTTAAGGCTGAATAACATCGAATAGGTTTTATTTCAAGATTGGTACAAGCTACTCATGTATCGTTAAACTTCACTAAAATAGATTTTTGGCGATTTCCCCACCCAGAATCATTGCTTGAGGAAGTAACTAAAAATAATAAAATGAAAGTGTTTGTTTAAATTAGTATTGATTAGATATTTGTAAAGCTTACCCCAAGAAGTCCTCCTAAGTCAAAATAGTCTTCTCCTGATATTCCTTTCTTCCCCTTAACTGTAGGATGCATCTTGGTAGTCTTATCAGTTCCTTTAGGTTCATCAACTTAAACAATTTACAATTAAAAACATACATATAGCATAGAAAGAAGAATAGAAAAAAGACGACCGATGGACATAAATATAGCAACTGTTCAGCGTAAAAAGACTTATTTCACTTAATAAGTTGAATATCAACCTACAGGTAAAGCTATTCCTATCAACAGCAACATCAAGTATACAAAAATAAGATTTCTTAAATGTTATCTTTTCACTATATGACACATATTGTTGCACAGCAAAGAGACTAATTACATGCCTCAAACTTTACTTTTCTAATCGCAATATTTTTGCAATTTAACAACTTTGCCATTTGAAAACTTTGACATGTGAAAACTTTGCCATTTGACAACTTTGCCATGAGACAACTTTGCCAATTGACAATTTTGCCATTTGAAAATTTTGCGATTTAACAACTTTGCCATTTGACAACTTGCAATTTGACAACATTGCTATGTGACAACTTTGCCATTTGACAACTTTGCAATTTGACAACTTTGCCATGCGACAACTTTGACATTTGAAAACTTTGACATTTTACAACTTTGCCATTTGACAACTTAGCAATTTGACAACTTTGCCATACGACAACTTTGCCATTTGAAAACTTTGACATTTTACAACTTTGCCATTTGACAATTTTGCTATGTGGTAACTTTGCTCTTTGACAACTTTCAATTTGACAATTTAGCAATTTGACAACTTTGCCATTTGAAAACTTTGACATGTGAAAACTTTGACGTGTGAAAACTTTGCCATGAGACAACTTTGCCATTTGAAAACTTTGCCATTTGACAACTTTGACATGTGAAAACTTCGCCATTTGACAACTTTGCCATTTGACAACTTTGACATGTGACAACTTTGCAATTTGACAATTTTGCCATTTGACAATTTTGCCATGTGACAACTTTGCTATGTGACAATTTTGCTATGAGACAACTGTGTACTGATGGGCATGGTTTTGAGGTTCGTTTTAAGGTCCGTTCTGAGTTCGGTTTAGAGGTCCATTTTGAGGCCCGTTTTAGATTCGTTTTGAGGTTCGTTTTAAGGTCCGTTTTGAGGTACGTTTTGAGGTCCGTTTTGGGACATTCAGGGGTTTTTGAAGTTTAGATAACTCCACTAAGAAGATGCAAGTTATTTTACAAATTGAAAAACTGTATTCTCGGAAAACGGGAAAACGATTTTACTAATAATTATGAAAAATCGTGAAGAAATGTGATATGAATTTAAATTATATCTTTATAAAAAATTTACCTGTTGTAATTAAATATTTTCTTGGAGCAGAAAACCCAGATTCTACCAGAAGAACCAGGAAACAAAATGCTATTGCAAACCTTAAAAGGATTTTTTACGTGTTTAATAAGTACACAAAATACTGAAACATTTGAAAATAAGAACGAAACTAAAAAGCATACAAATATACCCGAGGGAAAAAAGTTTTGTACATTTGAGTGTTTAATTCAATGTAAAGTAAAAAAAAGAAATAAAAACTTTAATTTTGTTTAAGTTGTGAATATTTTAAAATTCGTAAGACTGGGGTTTCAGAAAAATTGATGTTTTATTTTCACTTTCAAATTTTTAATAAAAACATTGCGTAAATATTACCTCATAGTTGAACACCTAACAGCTATTACAATAACTAAAGATTAAGTGAAAAATACAAACTTATAAAGAAAAGATATTAATACATAGTCAGGATGGTTCAAAAGACTTCAGTGTTTTCCTTTTATGGTAATTACTAGTTTTGATCTTGAAGGTAATTTGAGTTGCCGAATAAGATTTAGCAGAAAATTTATCAAATTTAAATGCACCCCTAAATTGTAGCGTAATTAAAACAGTTAATAAAAAGATGAAAACAAATAATTACCAATCAATCTAAAAAATAAACATCTTCTTGAATTTCATCGCAACATCGTACACTGTTAGAAAAACTTCTTCTGTCCCGTGCAATATATACAATTTGTCACGTTACACTGCAATATATTGCATGGTTCAACAATTATATTAGTTGCGACGTTTATCTCGGAAATTGTTCTCCCAGCCTATATAAGTGTTGTCCCGTGCAAAATAATTGATTTCCCGTGTAATATATCTGCTTTCACGGAACTTGCAAACTTTCTCCAGCTAATATAAGTTACGCGA